TGTCATTGTAGCTGTCATACAGTATGCTGTGTCAACTCGAAAAATGACTGGACGCTTCTGAAACCACCTCGCAACACAGTCAACAATATTACTTCTAGCAATAACGTAATAAACACCTCTAGCACGATTCAAAATCCGGAAATCGTGCTATTTCCCACGGACCCACCAATGTCCAGCCTCGCCACCCCTAGCCTACAATCTGATTCCACATTCCCATCACTTTCCAACCTACCCATAAATCTCACTCGTGAGACCTCACCGACCAAGTTGCATCATCAACGTCATGCTATTAATATGCAGCGGTTAGGTGAACAGTTATCCCTCATCAGTCGCAATTGCCATTCCCATTCCATAGCGAAATCAACACCGGTGGTTCAGGGGAACAGCGCAACCTCTCCGGGACTGGTCAGTATCAGTACAAACAGCAATAGTAGCAACAATAGCGGCAACAGTAGCGGCAGCAGCAACAGCAGCAGTAATGGGTCAACCGCAGCTAACCAACACACGGGCTCTTTAAGTACTGCTCGTGTACCACCACCTGGCCTGAAAGATACCGTCCCTGAATGTCCAAAAACGATGCAGACATTTGGTTCCTCTATGCCGGATCATTTCACCCGTTTCCCACCCACTGCTCCGAGCAGCAGCAGCGGCTGTTCACCAAATGGAGAACCTTGCGTCTGGATGCCTGTGCCGGTGACGATGCTGACTTCATGGATTAGGCTATTGTCCGGCATGACCAGTCCGGGCGGATTTGCCAATCAACCGGGTGATTTGGGTGCTAGGAGAACACCAGGATCACGACAGCCCGAGCCGGAAGCGAACACAACAAATTTGATCCAACCGCACATGTTTCCCCTGTCTTCTGTGGTCGAACCATTTGCTGGTCTGAAATCGGAACCGCGCGACAATGACCATTTCAGTGGGGTATAACATCTACAGTCTGCTTTGATTCTGTTGTGAACTTGAAAAAGATAAGAAAAACCCTCACATGCACATACACATACACACCTCCTATTGCGCCCTAATCCACAAGGCTGTTATTGTAATTACGATTATTTTTTGACTACGTTGCAAAAACAAACAAAAAAGAAAGTTTTTTCTCCGTTTTCGGGTCTTTTTATTGAAATCCGCAACCCGCAGATGAATGGTGTTAGTTGTACGGTAACTTTGTAGTATTCATAAGCTTAAACTAACATTAGAACCCGGGATAAAAATTTCAATACTGCCGAGGAGAATTTCTTCGCACGTGATTGTACCACTGTGCCTCTCTCTGCAACAGAACCCCAAAGGTCTGCATTGTGACGTGTGCAAATCTGGTTTGCCACGGAATAAGGTGATTTCTACCGTCCTGTTATCCCACACGTAGCACTTGACTGAGCACGGACTAGAGGTACATCTTCAAAGATTATATATATGTAATCACGCACAATCCTCAGTTCATCCAGTCAGCAATACACTTGGAAGTACTACACCTTTTCCCATCAAGCTTTAGCCAAAACCCGCAATC